ACAGACCAGCAGGTTTATGCTGCTGCATCGACTCGGACTGAAGCTGCTCTAATGAATGATGCACCTTTTTAATCTCAGTGGTATAGTGTTGGAGCCATAGACTGTGCAAGAGGAAACCCCTGCTCACCAACTAAACCCAACCAACTGTGACAAATATGAACACTGAAAAATTCACCATCGCCCTTTAATTATCATGGCAAAGGAACAAAAAACCCTGAGGAAGAACTTTCAGTGCAGCAGCGTATGCGATTTCACATATGAGCATATACAATACAACTGAATATAATCTCTATGAAAGTGGTATGAGAAAATCTTAGTGGATGTGGACCCAGTACAGAACCCTGAGGTACACCACATTAAACTAAAGTATTTTTCTAAAGCTATACCTCGCCCATTGGTTTGGAAGCCTCAACATTAGTGTTTTGGGTCCCGCCATGTTGTTTTTTCCATGTTGTTTTTTCTGGAGCCAGAAGTGACCAGATTAACGAACATATTCGTTAATGCTAGCTAGTCTTGTTAGCAGGTCTGTGCAATGCACAAATAGAGCTTACTAGGTAGCACTAAGTAACATCTAAAATAAATCCTCCTTACTCACATAAACTGGAGCACAGCCTTCTTGAATGGACTGTTAGTGCATTTAACCTGACACCAGACATATTATTGGTCAGATAATTGCACTAAAAATGCTCGAAAAGCTTAGCACTCAGCTAGCAGCCGTCTGAATCACACTGCACCTGTCAGTCAAAAAGCCACGCCTTTAAATGCAAATTTAAAGGTTAATGCGATCTAAACAGGTGAGTTATAAAAACATTATCTCCTTACATTTGTTATGATGGATAAAATCAGCTAAAGAGACCAAAACTATTAATTGTAAAACCATGAATATGACACATTTGACATAAGTGGGAATTAGATTAGCAATTTTTTGGACTTCAAAAATAAAAATACTTTTTCTATTTTTATTGTAAAGATGTGGATAATGTCCACAGAAGTAGGAAAGCGTCAAATCAGTTGCTAGTTAAAATAATTTCAGAGAATGAGCGTTATTTTACAATAATTAATTTAAATTAATGTTAATAGTTCTTTAGTAGATTTTAATTACACATGATAAATTTTCAAAGTAATCTGTGTGCTGGCATTTATCCAAAGCTTTTCAAACTCGAGACTTGAGAAAGAAGACGTGCACCAAGGCTTTACAGTTCAAAAATCTATTTCTTGTATAAATTCTCTGCTGTGTCCTCCTCCTCATGCCTCTTATCTTTCATCATGTCCTTCTCCTACAACAACACATTCAGTATCTCTCACAGAGATGAAGAGAAAGCAGCAGACGAAATGAGAGCAGGAGATCCCATCTGTCTGCCTCTGCCATCCCAGCTCATTGGGCAGGACAGAGACTTTCATGAGTTTGCAGGCAGGCTGAGAGGAAACCCCTGTGCACTGACTGAACCCACCCATCTGTGATAAATACGAACACTGCATAATTCACCATCAGTCTTTATTTATCCTGAGTGGTGGTGGTGGGGGGGAGGGGGGGAGTGACTGAGAGAAGCACTTTCTCCGTTTCATATTCATTCATGGTCCTGTCTATTTAAAGAACACTCAGACATGAAAGAACCATCAGAAGTGGCCAGTCCTCTTCATGTTTAGTTTGCTGGCGGACAGAAAATTAACCGATTTGATTAAGCAGAAAGTTTCTGAAATATACACTTGAAGACATTAAAAAGCTCAAGTCTGCATGTGAATCAATCAAGAATTAAACTTTAAAATGACTAATCATGTCTAACCAACACAAGAGACCAAGTGCATGAAACTCTGTATATTCACAGCGATAGACTTGTGTATTGTCCATCTTTTTATTTATTAAAGTCAATTTGTTAGGTTTTTCTGCTGCCTAGCTATAACACTAGCTTGCATCACTTATGTTATTTTAACTGTCTGCAGGAGGAGGAGTGAGCAGATGATGCTGGAAATTTCTCCTGCAGCTTCAGCCTGAGCTGACAGACTGTTCGTCCGGCCGTCTGTTAGACTCCAATGTTTGTTCTGGCAGCAAAGACATGGAAAAGAAGGTGTTCTCCGACTGCTGTCGGTCTGCAAACATTATTTTTCTCTGCTTTATTGGTGCCAAAAAACTGTTTTCTGTGAGTCAACAAATGCAGACAGAAACCAGGAAGAGAGACCTGATATAGAGTCTCAATTTTATCTGGAAAATACATATGTCTGAAAGTAGGTTTCATTAAAAATAAAAGAAACATGTTGAATTTTGCTGTAAAACATTAACAGCAACAGGAAGCTGCAACAATAAATCAGGTCTCAGCTGAAATGAAAAACTGAAGCAGGCCTTTCAGGCGTCCGGGAAGCTGACATGGCTCTTCTCGTCTCTGTTTGGCATCTTTTTCCCTAGTGACAGCTTCCTGGTTGCTATGCACAATGCTGAGTTGAGCTGTGCTCAGATTGGACAGAGGAGCCGGCTCTGCCTCTTTTCCATGAGACTACCAGCAAATCACAGGTCAAATTAGAGCAAGGGCAAAGTCTTCAGTATGTGCGTGCGCGTGTGTGAGAGAGGAGGAGAGATGTTTAAAGTTATGACTATTAAAATTCATTAACAGGTTTAAATGAGAAAAAACAAGGACACAAGGATGTTGACTTCTTGTTTCTGTCAAATAAATCTGTTTCAAGTTAAGTATCGTGTTTGTCTTCTGTCTTTATTTCCATCCAATGTTTGTCTTGAAAAAAAAAAAACAATCTCCCTACACTGTAGCGGGTAGGAATGTACCCACTGGAACATTTGGGGTCTATAACACAGATTGTATAGAAAAGATGGATGTAGCCACTGTGACATCACCCTTTTGTTTCTGAGCTCCGCATTTTGAAGCCTTACCTTTAGCATTTGGGCCTCCATCATGTTTTATTGGACCTAGTCACCCTATCTGTGATGAGTGCCATGCCAAGTTATCAGCGAAGTGAGCAAAATTGGTTAGAAGGTTGGCAAACATCCAAATAAAATTCTACAATTTCACTGCATATAGGTCATATTGTTGATCAGATACTTGTAAGAAGGCCAGAACAGGCTCCAATTAGCTTTAGAGACCACAACTGTTTGTGGTCAACAAAGTCTGCCAAAATCAACAGACACCAAACACTGATCTGCCCTGAAAGGGCCAAAAAAAGGAAGACAAAAAAAGTGCTCATCCAACAGGTGATGTACATAAATCTGCAAAAAGCTATGTACCTCTCAAATATCAAATTATGAAAATTACAGATCTCACACTATAGTCAAAACTCCATCAGTCTCAAACCAACGTGGTCTCATAATACCATCGTCTCAGGAGATCTCAGTGTTCCTATGTCAAGATGTTTCAAAAGTGCTTACTTTTAGTTTTCTTTGCCTTAAAGGCTTCATAGTAATCCCATTCAAGGTGTGAGATATCAATGTTATTGCCATCTTTGTTTACATTCAAGCAGGGATGCAGAATCAGGACTCTTTACAATTTTTAAGGCAGTAAAATTCTTTTCAGAACATGAATGAGCTAAGTCCCTGGAACAAGACGAATATCTGGATCTGGATTCATCTGTAATATTTTCTTCTTCTGTCATTCTTGTTTAATCATGCCCACTTGCTTGTATTGGTAAAGAATCCTTTCAGAAATTTCTGGATCCCGATTGAGTCCCCTTCTTCTGGTTAGATCTTTCCTAAATCCATTCTCAAATTTGGAGAAACCCAACGACGAACACCAAACCTTTCCTATGAAACTCTTAAACTGCTTCAAAAAGCAAACCCATTTCTCTCTACCTTTTATTAGAGTTATTCGAGTCGTTCCAGCAGCATCCATTTCACCTGCCTGGGGAAATCTAAAAGCAGCTTCCAGGAAAACAAAAGTGCAATCTTTTTCCTTTTTAGGAGCTTTCATTTCCCCCAGGAGGCTTCATGCCCGTTGTCAGACAGAAAAGTCAAAGGGATGCTCGTATGGAGCCAAATCAAAAGGAGCAATGATACATTTTTAGCCAAATTAAAAACTTGTCTTTAAACAGCAGGAACCTAACTGTACATGGAGGAATCTGAACCGAGAAGTTTCTAGTTTACAAAAAAGAAAAGCACTTACATATACATGCCAAAAAGGGCAGCATTTGTGCCAAAACAACCTCACAAAAGAGGAAAATGCTCCACAGCTCACTTACTGCAGAGCTCCAGTTTTACCTCAGCCTGGTAAAAATGGAGCCCTGCAGTGAGCCAGTAGCTGATCTTATTCTTCAGCTGTGCGCTTGTTTCCAGCCCAGCACCTGCTTCTACTTCTACCAGTCATATCATGTAGCAATACTGAAATGCATCTGTCTGTGGCGCACAGGTAAAAGTGAATCCCTGCAGTGTGGGAGCCATCGATCTTCTTGAATTTCTATATGACCTCATGTGTAAAACACAGCAGCTGTCCAGCTGCCAATTAGGAGCCCAGGTTTGTGGGGACACAGTCTGGTGGTTTACTCTGACCTAGATTCAATTTTGAGACTTTGCTCAGGAACTGCGTCATTAAAACAACCGGGAAGGTGCAGTGAGGATGCCAGCACCTTCTGCCGCAGCTTCAGATGACTCGATTATAGAAATGGAATATTTTTAAATGCAATCCTTTTGATACAGAAATTATTCAATGGAAAAAAAAAAAATCAAGCACAGGTGTTAAAATACTATGCTCAAAATCACAGTACCCCACTTCAGTGTGTCATTCTGGGATTAACATTATTAAACAGAAACTATTAAAATGTTGCTCTGTGGATATGATATAGCATCTGGACTAGAAAATACTGGAAAACTATATGAGTCAGCAATGGAAATGGGTTCTATCATAGCCTATTTTTGCAGTATTTGCAGCAATAGAGTCATCTATATTCAACACTTCAGTACAGACAATATTTAAAAGTCTGTCTTTTCTATGTTTTTGTTCCTCTACATGTGTACAGCACACATGCTGTGGAAGACTTAAGCAATTCTTCTGAGGAATGTCAGCTTAAGGACTTAAACTATGTATTTGCAGTTGATATAACATCACCTGCACTGGGTAAAATCCTATTAAGGACGCTAGCGGTTATTCGTTCTTATTTTATCTGGAAGACCTTCAGCCAGCTATCAAACAAGCAAACCGCACATTAGAGATGTGAGCACCATCTGCGCGCATGTTTACAGGCTGGACTGTAGAAACATATCTAATCACCGAAACATGATCACTGTGAAGTAACACACAGCAGGCGCTTACCTGTGAGCAGCAGCTGTGTCCATATTAGACACACGCACAGAAACATGGTGAATGCTCCTTTGCAGCTCACTCTGAAAGAATCAGCTCCTCGGATTTCCTCCTGCAGCTTGTCTCGGTGCTGTAATCAGCCCGCGGCTCTTTCCTTCATTAAGCAGTCGCTGCCAGAGCTCCGCAGACCGCTCCGGCACCGAACCCCGCGTCGCTCCTTCTCCGCCCTGCCGTGCCCTAAAGCGGCCTGGCCGAAAAAGGAAGAGTCGCTCTCCAACCTCGTTAGATGCGAGCAAAAGCAGAGGACTCTCTCCCTCTGACATCAAAGGAAGAATAGTGTTTGTGTCCACATCAGCTTCAGGTGGAGGATGAAGGCTGGCGAGGATGAAGAGAGAGACGAAGGGGAGGAGAGAAGGCGTGGAGAGGGGGAGAGGAGACGAGGATTCGTCCTTAAGAATATCAGCGCTCAAATTAATCTCAATACTATTAGAATGATTTCAGTCATCTTCGCCATTATTTTGTTTACCGATTAATAGAATTACATTTATAAAAACCTATGTTAGCAATAATGCAACAAATCGTTTACCCAGAACATCGTTTTACTTTAAATGACTGCAATAAAATTGTAATTTTTCAGTCACAGGCCTGATCCCAGAATGTATTTATCATATCATATTATATCATATAATCCACCACCTGGCGGTGTTGGATATTTCTGTGTGGAGTCTGGCTGGGTCCTCTCCGGGTACTCTGGTTTCCTCCAACAGTCCAAACACGCGCTTGTTAGGTTCACTGGTGATTTTAATTGGCTGTAAGTGTTGTAGATGTGAGTGTGAATGGTTGGTCTGTGTTCCCCTGCTACAGACCGATGACCTGTGCAGAGTGTATCCCGCTTCTTGCCCTATGGCAGTTTCCCCACAACCCTAAATTGTATAAGGAGAAGAAAATGGATAATGTAATATAATATAATATAATATAATATAATATAATATAATATAATATAGGTGACTATAAGAGACTACAAGGTAACTCTAGCTTTGGCTGTCTGGACTTTGCTTCATCACCAGGAGTGTAAAGTATGAAATAATAATACAAATGATACCTTCAGTTTGGAGATGCTGCTGTGGAACACCAGCTTGAAGTTGCTCTGTGGCTCCGGCTCAATCCAGATCAGTCAAACGTGGGATGCTTAGAGGAGACAACAACTGACAGTTGTAGCCGAATCCATGCTAATCACCTGATTGTCAGCTCTTGGAGTACCAGAAGCTTAAAACAAGATGTTTGGCAGAGATTTGTCAAGTTATTCATGGGCACGACCCACATACTCATCTCCGCTGCTCATCCCAGAAATGTGTTTTCCTTACAAATAAGGCTCAATTTAAGGGGAAATAAACATAATAAATGAATGAATAAAAAAAGGGTATTGCCAAAAAGCATTGTTAGAATAATAAAATAATTTAGCAAAACATAAATTTTCTTACTTATTTTAATATATACAATTATTACTTTTTGACCAACTATGTGCACAAGTACAAGGAATTGGGCTCTAATTATTTCTTTGCTCTCAGAACACAGTCGACAACAGACAATACCAGCATGTGGAAAGACAATGGAATAACAGAGCCTTTCCAAAAAATTAGAATATCATGGAGAAGGATATTTATTTCCATAATTCCATTCAAAAAAACTTTCATAGATTATAGACTCAGGGCCCACAACTTAAATGATTTTAAGGACTTAGTTGTTTATTTGTACATAATTTGGGCTTCCAGCTCATATAACCCACAAAAATAGGAATTCAAAAAATTAGAATACTGTGAAGTCATCAGCACCGAATTTTACAGGACATGAATGTTTTAATCTGAGTGTCACACACAACTCATCTACTACACTTAAAGAACCTGCACAGGTTTTCCCAGGTGTCATTAAATTGCTTCACTTTGATTCAATTGTCTCAGTTATGTTCAATATGGGAAAGACTGCAGACTTGACAACTGGCCAGAAGAGCATCATTGTGGCTTACCCATCCTATGGAGGATGGGTAAGCCACAAAAGTTCATAGCTAAGGAGGCTGGCTGTTCACAGAGTGTTGTTTCCAAGCATATCAATGGAAAGTCTAGTGGAAAGGCAAAATGTGGCAGGAGAAGATGCACCAGCAGAAGAGATGACCGTGGTCTTCAGCGGATTATCAAACAGAGAAGATTCAAGAATCTGTGAGAGATCTAGAAAGAGTGGAATGAGGCAGGAGTCACAGCTTCAAAAACCATCACATTATGGGGTGCAATGTCTGATGCAGGTGTTGATGAATTCTGCTTTCTTAAATCCACCACAACAGTCTACCAGAATCTTTTAGAGGACTTCATCATTCCCTCTGCTGAGGATCTGTATGGAGATGCAGATTTCATATTTTAGCAGGACCTGGCCCCTGCCCATACCGCCAGAAGCACCAAAACCTGGTTTGATGGCCATGCTATCACAGTGATTGACTGGCCAGCCAACTCGCCGGACCTAAGCCCCATTGAGAATCTATGGGGTATTATCTATCTATTTATTTATCTAATTTTTTGAATTCCTGTTTTTGTGGGTTTTAAGAGCTGGAAGCCCAAATTATGTACAAATAAACAACTAAGTACTTGAAATCGTTTAAGTTGTGGGCCCTGAGTCTATAATCTATGAAAGTTTAACGTTTTGAATGGAATTATGGAAATAAATATACTTTTCCATAATATTCAATTTTTTTGGAAAGGCTCTGTATATATGCAAGGATTGACTATACGTATAGATATATATAGATATAAATATGTGTGTGTGATGAAGCCTTGCTCAACAGCTCATTTGCAAGTATTGACATCTTGTGGTCATTTAAAGTACAGCAGCCCTGCTGTGATAATACAGTCCTGATCAAAAGTTTAAGACCACTTGAAAAATGGCAGAATGGTTGGATCTTAACAAGGTTCCAAGAGGTTCTGGAGGGAACCAGGCACAGCTCCTCACCTGGACAATATATACCTAGAGTGAAGCATGGTGGTGGATGTTTTGGGGCAGCAGGAACCGGGAAACTAATCAGCATCGAGAGAAAGATGATGCACTAATGTACAAAGGCATTCCTGATAACCTGCTCCAGATCACTCCGGACCTCAGACTAAGAAGATTAATCTTTTAACAGGATAACGACACTCAGCACACTGCCAAGATGACAAAGGAGTGGCGTCAGGACCACTCTGAATGTGGATGTGCACCAACACACCCCATCCAATCAATGTTCTGCTAAGATCACTGGGAGTAAGACTCCTTTTGTTCCTGTAGGCAGAAAATGCTCAGACATTTTACACATCTCAGCTGCAATAATGTTCCAAAAACACGAGAACAGTTTATGTCTTACAGACAGGTCTGCACAAAAAGGATTTTTTACCTGTGTAGGTTGTTTGTAAAATTAGTGAAACACCCGAAGCTTCATATAGTCAATATCTGCAACTTCAAAGTGAAAGAGCTATGTGTATTTATGCACTTGGCACAGTAGCTGTAAATATTCATCTCTACCAATTATTCCTGACAGAGGATCAAACAGTTATGGCTCTCAGGCTTTTTTCACATTGATGTGTTTAACAGAGTCACAAATATTTATAATGTCACCTTTTTTTTTTCAAATTCAGATTCAGGGTTTGCAGTAGTGACTGTTGTGTCATTTTTGCTAACGTTTCCCAAAAGAAAATCATTAAATAATCATTACTATTCAAAATTAAATCATTTTTCTTAGCATTATAATGTTAATACATATTATCACAGCATCAGAATTTACAAGTAAAACTGATGATGGTACAAAAATTTATATAACATTAAGATGAACAAATATAATGGGCACATCTGATTATGTGTTAGTAAACTGTGAGTAAAGAGGCAACAGGTAACCATGACAATATTATAACTATTTCCTGTTATAAAACAGTTGACGTCGTATAAATTTTTAAATATGAAAAAAGCAAGCTTTCATACTGTCCTTTTCTTCTGCTGTGAATCTTATCGTTTCACTGCTCAACTTGCTGGTAGAGCTGCCGTCATATTTATAGAGACTATAGATAAAAACTAATTGGAAAAATAAAATGAAAATCAAAATAATCCTGCACTGACAGGAATGACAATCTGCAAATTCAGTAGTATGAACAAGTGTTTGCATATTTGATTTTGTAATCTTTTTGGATATTTGTCCATTTAAATGTTTCAGATTGTTAAACAAATTTAAATATTAGACAAACATAACAGTGGGGTTGGGTTAATTAGAAACACTAAATTGTGAATGTGGGGGTGAATGTGAGTGCAAATAGTTGTCTCTGTTCATGTGTTAGCCCAGCAACAGACTGGCGACAGTGGTGTACCCTGCCTCTCGCCCTAAGGCAGCTTGGATAGGCTCCAGCACCCCCGCGACCCTGAAAAGGATAAGTGAAAGCGAATGGATGGATGGAGATAACACAAGTAAACACAAAATGCAGTTTCTAAATGAAGGTGTTTATTATTAAGGGGGGAAAATTTTCAAATCTACACGGCCCCATGTGAAAAAGCGATGGCAAACACTTTTTCACACCACTGTACACGCTCTGAAGTATAAACTGAATATTCACCACAGTTCCCCATCACTCCACAGGGTGAAGCTGCAGCTCAAAACACTACAACCATAACCACAGCCTACACTAGTTCAAAGCACACTGATTCTCAGTGTTGTGTCATAAACAGATATATTCTGCAGAGACTTTTTAAAGAATATTTAAATGAATAAAATAGATGAAATAAAATGCAGGTGAATATGGAGCAGAGTGGGTGGAGTCAGTGTGTGTCTGCAGAGAGTGTGTAGAAGGACAGAGCAGCAGCAGAGCAGTCCAGACATACTGCTGAGGGAGACATAGGAATGATGGTGGACTCTGCTGTGTCTGACAGCAGAGCTGTTCCCACAGCAGTTCACTCTGCAGCACTAACAGTCATCTGAACTGCTTCTCATTCCTCTGTCAGTCACTGCTTAAACTCTGCTTTTCACTCCACCTCCCAGTAACATTGACCAGTTGGAACATCTCCCCAAACACAAGCTGCTGCTGTCCTTTCTTAGCCCTGGTAACTTCACTTCCAGCTGTAGAATGAAGAATAAAAGAACAGAGATGATAAATGAGTGTTTACAGAGGCTCTCTTCAACAGCTGTCAGCCAGTGTTGCAGGAAATCCAGCAAAAAGAGCAGCAGGGACTTGGTTGTGGTGGAGCAGCTGCGTGCCTGAGTCCTGAGTACTTCATTACTGTACCAACACTTTAGTGGTGGCTCTCTGTGTTTTCATGAACATCTCATCAATTTCTGAATCACTTTTTAATAAATAGAGACTGTCCCTGAAGATA